GCACAAGGGCGGTGTCGGTGCCCAGTTAATTTAATTTTCTTCATAAGGTATATATAAATATCGATTTCTTTCCAACTATTATTATTTGCTTGATGGAGCAGTACCTCAATCTTTTCTTCGTAGCATAAATTTATGTTAGATTATTGTTATATGGTATGGAATGCAACATTAAAACCGGCAAAGTAACCGGCTAAATTTGTTCCATGTATCTTAGAGAGGTAAAACAGCGTCACAAGGCGGAAATGAAAATTTCCACATACGGCATAAATAAATGTTACAAGGGCGGCAATCCCACAACCTCTTTAGAATCTTTTATGTACGCGAATGCTTGAATTAACCGATCGATAGCCGACAACGAAGGCCTAGGCCCAATCCACCACCTTTTGCTGAGTTTGCAGCTCTCGAGCAAATAATTTTCGGTGGAAATACGGGACTGGGATATGGATAGATTGTCGGGGAAATACGATTTTTGACCCTCGTGTTGGCCCTATTTTGACGGGCTTGCGCTAGATTTCGGTGTTGTGATTGGCGGGTTCGAGTGCAGGCCATGGGAACGAAGGTTGGTCCCAAACACCAACCCTGTGGGACCGCAGACAGAGAAAAAATAGGATCTTAGTGAGATGCGAAGCTGAGGAAAAAAGAAAACTAAATTGGGGGCAGAGAAAAAGGAGTGCACATACTACATAACGGAGGGAGGCGAGGTTGTCGTCCGCGCAGGCGGCGGCTTGATGCTCGCCGACGCTGGGAGCGGCGAGCCCCTCTCGATTGTCTCTCGTGCTCGGCAGAGGGTTCGAGAATAAGGTCCTGTCCTTACTTAAGATTCAGATAAAAAAAAATTCCAAACCTTTATGCATGCACCTCCGTACAAGTGCTGCGTACAAGTTCCGTCCAGAATGACTGGGAAAGATCAAACCAATTTGAACCGCTCACATCATCAATAAGAAAACCTTTAGGCTTGTTATCCAGGAACTTGTTCAGAAATACCGTAATGAAAGGAACATAGGAGTTTGTCGCTAGGTATTTGACCAAATAGGATCGTCCAGTTCCTATAGAACCTATCACTATCCCTAGAGGGGATAAGGTTAAGCGGAGCGAAAAGGGTTTTCCATGAGATGGGAAATGCAAAGTATTAGTCCCACACGAAGTTTGTGAATAAGTGATTGTCTGATAATGAGCAAGGAATACCCGTCTTTATGCTGAACATGATGTATTGAACTCATAATTCAATAGATACTTTTTATGAATGTCAACTAAGTATCGTACTTAATTGAATAATTATTTTATAAAATTGTTTTAATGGGGGGTTTTAAACTCATAAAAGAGGATTGTGTTAAGGTTTTAGAATTTTTGGAGTTACGGTTTTAGAGAAACGGATTTTCAAAGATAAAGAGATGTTTGAAAAAATGGATTAAATCTTTGAAGAGATGTTTGATAAAATACATTGTTTTTATTAAAAAGAGATGTTTGAAAAAATGGATTAAATCTTTGAAGCTGAACTTAATAGACAAATTTAACTTAGATCGTTACTAAGAGGATTATGTTTGTGTATAATAGACTAAGGGCTTGTTTGATTGCGCTTAATGAGCCTCTTAATGACACCTTAAACTGATTCGGTAAGCAATTAGGCATTCAGGGCATTTGGTAATGATCTCTGAATGTTTCCAAAAGGATCCGACCTATTAAGCCGGAAATTGGATGCTGAACGAATAAGTGCAATATATGAATAGAATTGTACCCACCACTATTGCTATCTCATGGTACCTCATGATAATATTATATTCGTATACATTGTTTTTTATAAAGTGTCTCCACCTTTTAATATATTTATTAATTATATTATATACATCTTGGATAGAGAAATCAAAATGTCTCCTTCGTTTTCCTTTCTGTATTTATTTTACTTTCTTTCTCTCTTTTTTTTTTTTTTTTTTTTTTTTGCTTATCAAATTTTCTCCTGGTTATAGAAATCAATTTTTAGTGTATCGTACAAAATTTTCCATTTATCCTAACAAAATTCATAGGTAAATTATATCATTTGTTCTTTTATTTATCTTAACAATATTTATTATTATGTATTTTTTAAAGTACTTACAAAGGGTTTCAAACCTAAATATTTTAATATTTTTTCGTGAAACTTCATTTGCGAGATGTAGAATCATTCACGTGAACTATTGTTGCACGTTGCTAATTAAGTTAATCATGCTAAAAAAATACATATATGGTGTTAATTAATATTTTAATTAAGAAATATTTTGTCAAGATTATAACAGTAAATTAATATTATTAAGACATTACTAATCTTAAACAATCAAATGAGCTTAATGGTTCAGCATTCAGTATTCAGAGACCGCTCTTATCCATTCAGTTATGTATTCAGCATTCAGCATTCAGTGCTTAATCGTATCAAACATAGCCTAAGTTTAGTTTAAATGTTCACTAAATTGTCACGTGTTATTCCTTAGATGTTTCAATTAATTGAATTAGGTGAAATTCATTATATTTATGTGAAACATGTGTGTGCATAACCGTGTATGTGTTTGCGTAATATGTGAGATTTAATTAGTTTATGTGAGAATATGTGACTAATAGTCTTTGTGATATTATATTTTCACACACTTGATCGATATTTATGATTGATGTGTATAATTGGAGATAGACGCAACATGCTCAAATTGACCCATCTAGAGGAAAAACTTTAGCACTCTTAATTACATTCAACTTGTCCCACATTGGTTTTTAGCAAGAAAATCATATCAAACTCCACCTATAAATATGTGCAATCATTCACATAACAAGGTACACACTATTCAGGCAATTAATTAACATTAGTTATTTATACTGTGATAGTTTACTGACTTGGGCGTCGGGGGACAATCGTCGGATAACATCACAAATACCAATCAAGGATAATATGACCACATAAGCATTCATCGTTCATCATATATGCCAATCATCCCAACATTCATGTCTCAACCACACAGTGGCGGATCCAGGATTTTTGCCAAGGGGGTTCGAAATTGTAGAATAAAAAAAATTAAATATCAGTTTATAAAAATAGTGGACCAAAAATTTATAATTTATAAATTTTAGGTGAATTGTGGAAATATTTAAAGACCAAAAAGTTAAAAATAGTGGACCAAAATTTTATAATTTACAAATTTTAGGTGAATTGTGGAAATATTTAAAGACCAAAAAGTTGAAAAATGTTAAGATTTCAAAAAAAATCCTTTATTGTAAGGGTGGGTTTCGAACCCACGACATATTGATAAAAGAAGACATATTTTTACCACCTCAACCAAATAACTTTCCTACCATTTTATGTATAATAGTATTGTTTATTGAAAATCAAGGGTGTGCAACTGCACACCCTAGACCATGGCTAGATCCGCCACTGCAACCACACATACTCACACACTGCCCACACACGGAACACACATACACATATTATTACAATAATAGACACATATTATTACAATAATAGACAGTAGTATTATTACGTTACTCCGTAATAACTCAAACAAAAAAAAAAAACCCAAAAAATTA